GCACAGCTTACAGAGAGTGCACAGATGCCACACCAGGATGTTCACAGCTTACAGAGAGTGCATAGATGCCACACCAGGATGTACTCTCTGCTTACAGGAAGTGCACAGATGCTAACCAGGATGTGCAATGGAAGCTTCCCAGCTGGCCCTGCTGTCTCTTCCGCTGGAAGCTTGGCAGCAGCTGGTGACAGTGTCGTTGTTGATTGACAACAATGGATAACGTGCAAAGCATTACCGCGTGTCTTGTTTCTCAAGTGGATCCAAAACTGTCGGGACTCACCATTCCCTCCAAGCTGTCTGCAGTGATCCCTGCAGATCCCAAGTCCAAGCTAGACTAAGTTTGGAGAAGAGAAGAAAAAAACACGGGCACTGATATGGCCCTTCCTTCAGTACTTCCTCATCCTTCTTCAACAGAAGAAGAGACAGATAAGACAGTTTGTACAACAAAATAACTTTTTTATTAGTTAATAATTAATTTTTTCCAGCCCAGTCCCATTCCCCACCTCCTTCCACTCCTCCTAGCCCCTCCCCCAACCTCCCCTCTTCTCCTGCCCCCTCCCCCATCCACTCCACCTCCTTTTGCTTCAGGAAAGGCAGTCCCCCATGTATGTCAGCCAGCCATGGCATGTCAGGTTGCCGTAAGACTAGGCAGCTCCCCTCCTATTAGGGCTGGATGAGGCAACCCAGTAGGAGGAAAGGGACTCCAAAGGCAGGTAACAGAGTCAGAGACAGGCCCTGCTCCCACTGTTAGGAACCCCACAAGAAGACCAAGTTACACAACTGTAATATGTGTGGAGGGCCCAGGTCAGTCCTATGCAAGCTCTCTGGTTGGCAGTTCAGACTCTGTGAGCACCTGGAAGCCTAAGTTACCAGATTCTATGGATTTTCTTGGCCATTTCATATGTACCATAAAATTGATTTTTAAAAAAATATTGTTTATTTATTATGTATACAATACTCTTTCTGCGTGTATGCCTGCAGGCCAGAAGAGGGCACCAGACCTCATTACAGATGATTGTGAGCCACCATGTGGTTGCTGGGAATTGAACTCAGGACCTTTGGAAGAGCAGGCAATGCTCTTAACTGCTGAGCCATCTCTCCAGTCCCAAATTGATTCTCTTCTACAGCAAATATTTAGCTTACCTTAAGAATCTTTTTAAAAAGCCAGGCGGTGGTGGTGCACGCCTTTAATCCCAGCACTCAAGAGACAGAGGCAGGCGGATCTCTGTGAGTTCAAGTTCAGCCTTGTCTACAGAGTTAGTTTCAAGACCGCCAAGACTATTATACAAAGAAACCCTGTTTCAAGAAAACCCAAGTCTGTTTTAAGCATGAATATTCCCCACACCACCCCGTTTTTCCAAGGCTGAATTCACAGAGATCCGTCTGCCTCTGTCTCCTGAGTGCTGGGATTAAAGAAGGTAAATACCTGGGATAGACTTTATTAGCTCAGTTTCCCTAAGGTTGGTGCCGGGGACCTTCAAGCACACCTTCCTCTTTGGGGATGTTGGATAGGGTCATTCAGCTGTTGTCCTGGGCCCTAGAGGCCTTGGTTCCAGCCTCACTAACAGCCTCACTGGTTTTATAAAGCACCAGGCTAAGTCCAGAGGACGTGCATGAGTATGAATTCATAGCTCTCCAGCATCGCTATGGTTACTGAGGCCTCCATCCTCTTTACCTGCTTCTAGCTGATTCCTCCTGGCTGGTCTTCTATCCTAGCAGTTCTAGATACTGGCTGTTAGGGCTTTGCGGTTTCCTGGATTTGTTCCTTTTTGTCTCGATTCCTATCTCTGTCTTTCATCACTGGTTCAGACCCTCATCGTACCCCAGATGGTTACAGAATGATACAAGGTGGTCTCTCTGTCTCACCGCACTAAGGTTTAGCCTTCTTACTGTTACCAGAATACTGTTCTTAAATGCTGTTTTCATCGTCTTGTCCTACCGACGAAACATTTTATGGTGACCTTTTATGGGATTGAAGCAAGTAGTGGCTAAGAGAAGCCACGCTCCTGCTTCCGGTGACGTTGAACAACAGTTCTCGCGGCTCTTGGCGACAGTTCTCGCGGCTCTTGGCGAGCCTCACATTCCTTACTTATCACAAGGGAATAGTAAAAGTGTAAGTAAAAGCAGTAACAGCCCCAGTGGGTCCTTCTACAAATTAAATGAGCAGACATGTAAAGTGCTCAGAGTGGAGCACTGACCCTTGCTGGTGATAGTGGATATAACCCAGCTGTGGGAAGAGGAGGCCGAGTTGCCTGGTAACTGGAGATGAATGACATTACATCAAGATTAGGGAAGTCTCAGGTTTAAGGTCAGGCTAGAACTAGAAAAAGTAAGAGAATTTCAACCACAGAATGAGGTAAGCCTCACAAAGACTTCATTTGTGTTGGAGGCACCAGGAAGGAACGAGAGGGGTAGCATTTTCATTACAAACCTTAAATACTTTACTCCAACATTTTAGGTATTTTATTCTTCAGACAGCTTAGCCAAGCAAGGTAATTACAGAAGTCCACGCAGTGCACCTGCATCACACTGCCCTGGACTCAGACTGCCTGGGTCACGGCGCTGATTTTGCACCATCATTTATGGGTGAACCTGACAAATTACCTAACTGCTCTGAGCCAGGGTTCTCATCGTGAATGGGGCCTAATCATGGCATGACTTAACTGAATTTCCCGAGCTACTGATTAGCATATACGCAAAAGCCTGGCAGCTTGCTTGGTGCATGGTAACAGTTCAATAGGGTTGGCTACTATAACATATTTATTTATAGCCTATCTATCTACATATCTGTATTATCTAACCTATATATATTTGTAATATAATTATATTTTAGATATATATAATATGTATATACAGATACAATGATATAAGCAACCAGAGGTCAGAATCATTCAACTGCATGGCCCAAGAGCCCTCAGGGTCCCTGACTTTTTGACAGGGAAGGAGTATATCCATGAGATCAAATTCATTGTTTTGTTTTTTACAAGAAGATGATGTCATTTTCTTTCTTTCTCTCTCTCTCTTTCTCTTCTAATGAGTGTTATATTTTTCAGGAGTTTTAATAGTAGGATATGTCAATATATTCAAATAACATGAAAAACCAGCTTTGTTTTAAGCCATACATAAAAGAACTTTGCAAATGATTGTAAAATTATGCCAGTCTCTTCACCAAATATATTTTATTTTGGAAAATATTTTTCATTTCATTACATTTCATTCTGCATCACACTGCCCTGGACTCAGACTGCCTGGGTCATGGCACTGATCTTGCCACCATCATTTATGGGTGAACTTGACAAATTACCTAACTGCTCTGAATGGGGCCTAATCATGGCATGACTTAACTGAATATCCTGAGCTGAAATGAAATGAAAGTAGAAGTGATTTGTTATTTTGCATAAACTGATGTCTTTTAAAATGTCTGTCTTTTAGTCCCTAATTCTGTTAATATCAATAGATAAAACTCATATAAACTATTTATTTGTGGGTTCCTCAGTAATTTTAAGTGTAAAAGGAATTTGGCCCTGTGATCAGAAAGTTAGAGATAATCTATAATTAAATATAGCTCAGTTTAAATCAAGATTAAACCTAAAGCTAACCCGTGAGTATAAAGCTTGCTTCCGTCCATCCTAAAGATGAGCAACAAGGGTTCGGTGGCTTAGGCCTGTAGCCTCAGCACCCAGCACTCAGGAGGGGGATCAAGAGTTGGAGGTTAGGATCCGGGAGTTTGCTGTGAGATTGTCTCTAGGAGTGTCAGCAACTACACCCATAAAGGCTTACCAACATGGCTGCCTAAGCTTGAACCAGACAAGGGCAGCAGTGATAGGCATGTCAAAGAGGACAGGGGAGAGCCTGTGGGGCCTCGGCTCTATACAAAGATCTACAGGCGTGAGGGGGATGCTGAGAGTGGGAGACAATAGGCTTCCCCAGGGAAGAGCACACCAATTGGTTATCCACCTCCAAAGGGTCAGCTAAAACATGCATATAGGTTAACATTAAGCATATCGATCAGGTTACATTTAGAAATATATATCCGCATTGTAGTGTGGAGCTGTGGGCAGGCCTGCTTTTCATCCCGCCCGGTTCCTGCACAGCTAGCTTAGCCCCAGAAATAACAACACACAAATTGTATTCATTTAAACACTGCCTGGCCCATTATCTCTAGAGAGTTAGTTACTGACTAACTCTCATATCTTGATATTAATCCATTTCTAATAATCTGTGTAGCACCACGAGGTGGTGGCTTACCGGAAAAGATTCAGCATGTCTGACCTGGTGGCTGGCTCCATGGCGTCTGCCCCACTGCCCTCTTCCCAGCATTTTATTCTGTTTACTCCGCCTACCTAATTTTCTGTCCTATCAAAGGGCCAAGGCAGTCTCTTTATTGACCAATGAAAATAACACAACAGACAGATAACCCTCCTCCATCACTGCATATATAAATTCATATATGATGTAGCAACAATTAATGAAAAGAGGACATAATTTGGACATAAAAAAGAGAACAAGAAGTGATATATGGGAGGGCTCAAAGGGAGAAAAGAGAAGGGAAACATGATGTTATTATACTATAATCTCAAAAATAAAAAAAGTTGAAGGTCAGCCTGAATTATGCAGTTGATTCAAGTTCACTCAAAGCAACAAAAAAATCAAACATTAATGATACTATTTCAAAGACATAAAACAACAAAAAGGAGATGAATTGCTATGAAGAAATACCTTCTGTGGGGGTTTAGGACTGTGGCTCTGTCTCTTCATTGTTTTAAGTACGGTGCCACCATTAGACATTAAACTAGTGGCTGTGCCCCAGCCTGTGGCCGAGAAATTGATGGGCAGCCTCTGAGCACAATTTTTAGATTGATGATTGATAGCTAATATATTCTGAAAGCTCACGTACACCAGGTTTCTCAGGCTGGTGACTCTTCCGTGATTAGCGATCAATTCATTATGTTTTTAGTGGCTAGTCAATCTAAGTTGTAAATCTGTGTGATCTTTTGCAGCAAGATCATTGCGGAACTTGTGAGTACTGGCGTGACAGCGACTAAAGATCAGAAGACAAACTTGGGCCAGCTGATAAAAGCAAAGGAGCAGGAAATGAACGCCTACTATGGCCTGGCTCAGAGACAGAAGCAAGAAGAAGTGCAGGAAGTGCTTCAAGAAGCAGAAAAAACCCACCAGGCCACGCTGGACAACGTGATGGATAAACTGGCCAACACCCAGGGGGAACTGATATCTGTGGCAAAGCAGCTGGGAATCATGACGAACTGGAAAGACTTCCTGGAGGAGGAGTTACAGGAAACCCGGGTAGCGTTTCAGAAGTACATCAACTACACCTTCCCCAAGCTCTCCCCGGGACATGCCGACTTTATCCTGCCGGAAAGAAAGAAAACACCTTCCTGTCTTACGAAGGACAAAGAAAAGAAAACCGGGTAGACATCAGCTGAAACATCGCCACGGAGACTGCATCCCACAGCTGAATAAATACACTCAATACCATTGATCGATATCTGTTCAGCGTACTATTTGGCTGTAAGAATTTTTAATTAACATTTCAAGTTGTCGTAAAAATGACAGATTTCTGGCTTTTTCTTTTTGCCATTTTCAAAGTAATGCATTTCATATGGCACTTTCAAACATGCTCAAGTCTGGCGGGTCTTTGCTCTCTTCGCTCCCTCTGCTTTTCTGTGCTGTAAACATTGTCACAGAAAACCACAGTATTCAAAAAACATATGCCAAGGTGTGAGTACCACCTCTACCTACAGAGAGAGGACAAACTAATTACGAAGTGAAAACCCACTTCTGTACCTGGCTTGATTCATTTCTCCACCTGACGTGAAAGCACACACACGTTTGTGCAGTTGGAAATCAGTGAAGGAGCATGTTCTTAGGTTGCTTGCGTTTGTGGAGTGTCACCTACAGTAGAGAGATTACTGTCTGGTTAACAAAAACATCAATTTTCATCAAATATATTGAGAAAAATTTTAAAATTTGGGCCCTGCAAGAAAAGTATCTATACAAGTTAGGGATTCAGAGTCCTGTGCCTGGCACATGCCCTGTGATGCTCTGGACCACTAATGCCAACAATCACTAAAAGTGAAAGAAGACCAGCACCTATAGGACTTTTCTAAAACCCTATTCACTAAAAGCTAACGTTTTTTAAATTTAAGTTTTTAAATACACGTGGGAACCCCATTGGCTTATGTTTGTGCCAGGATTCAGACTCAGGTGCTTGAGCATGAAGTTCTCCTAACTGCTGAGCTATCTCTCCAGCCCCAAGAGGGGTCTTTATGAAACAGGATCTTGCAGCCGCTCTGTCAAGTGTAGAACCTTGAGCTTCCAGCACCAAGAAGAGAGAGTTTTCCCACTGCTTCCTTCTGCAATGCTGTTGGTATACCGGGTACCTCCTCTTCATCTGCTCTTTAAAGTGTCAGTTACTGAAAGCGTGGTGCCAGTTTTCTAAGCATCTCTGGTTCCCACGGTCTGCTGCTGGCATTCTGTCTCACTGAATGTGGGGAGCGCCCCCCCCAACCCACTCTCTCTAAGGGGACATAGTCCCCTTCCTTGTGAAGTTCCATATTCTATGTAACCCAAGCGATGTAACCCAAGCATCGTCAAGCATCACTGGCCTCTCTAGCTTTCTCTGGCTTGCTTCTGGAATACTCTGCCAGACCTATCTTACTTGGTCCTTTGGCTGGGGATAAAACATTCCATCAGAATAGCATCTACTCCAAATTTGTCAGTCCTACTTATCTTTTAACTTAAATCCATCAGTTTATGTAGATTTCTAACCTGGTCTTCTGAAACGAAGTCCAGGTTCTTTTCTAACAAAAAGAATAGTTGTATTGCCTTCATCTTCTCAAGACCCATACTATACTGACACGATTCTTTTTACTAGTCTCTTAATAGAGTCTAGTTTCTTTTTAAATTGATGCCTTCTTATAACAAGGAAAAATTAGAAGTCCACTCAGTCATAACAGTGATGGTAATGGCACCCAAGTCCGTATTTTATTACAGACACTGTACCAAGTGCCACATTGTAGTGTGAGGGGGCTGGCTTGTTGGGGTTTCCGTCCCGCCCGGTACCCCACAGCCAACAAATCCCAAAGAGAAATCACACACAGGACTCCATAAGGTTATAAACTGATTGGCCCATTAGCTCAGGCTTCTTGTTAACTCTTATAGCTTATATTAACCCATTATTCTTGTCTATGTTAGCCATATGGCTTGGTACCTTTTTCAGCTGTCAGCTTACATGTTGCTTCTTCAGTGGTCTGGACAGGAATGGCGGAAGAGCTTCCTTCTTCCCAGAAGACATACTCTCAGTCTCTTTGCTCCACCCCTCTTCCTGTCTGGCTTTCCCGCCTATACTGCCAGCCTGGCCAATCAGTGTTTTATTAAAATATGTTTGACAGAATACAGACAATTCTCCCACACCACCACATGAGCAACAACAGTAGATGCTTGCTTGTGGTGGGATTTCACTAGAAAGCTCAGACTGCCATTGAACCATGGCCCTCCAGTCTCAGCCTCCTGGATTCTGGGATCACAGCTATGGGCCAGTATGCCTAGCTTACTACCTGTAGTATAAATGAAAGTTTAGATCATTGAGAGGTTTAAATGATCACCAAAAGACTTTACTAAACCATCCCCTGTTGTAGGAGATTACTTGTTCCTGGCTGCCCAGACCCAAAGTAACCACACAGAAATGGTATTAATTAAACCACTGCTTGGCCTATTAGCTCTAACTTCTTATTGGCTATCTTTTACATCTTAATTTAACCCATTTCCATTATTTTATATTTTACCATGAGGCTTGTGGCCTACTCGGCAAAGTTCTGTCTCCAGCAGAGGCTCCATGGCTTCACTTTGACTCTGTCTCCTTTCTCCCAGCATTCAGTTTAATGTCCCCCCTCCCCACAGCCCTTAGCTCTACCCTGCCCTATCAACAGGCCAAGGCAGTTTCTTTATTTACCATACAGAGGGGAATCCCACATCAGTCCCCAAGCTCAGCAGTTTAAAGTAACACTCATTACACGTGTTCAGCTTGGCTGGAGGGTTGGGTGACCCCAACTGGACCCAGTTATGTATTTCCAGCTCAGGAAGAGAGAGAGACTTAGGGATACTGATTCAGCTTTGTGATACAGCACTTACTTATCTTCTGTGGTGTCCTTGGTTTGATCCTTATCATTGAATGAAGGAAGGAAACAAAGAACAAACTAGGTAGAAAGATTTCAAGCCCTAAGCTGCCACTGCCACCACCACCACCAGCAACAGCAGTGAATGTATTTGCCGCATAATTTTGAGGATCCCCAGAACTCACATAAAAAGGCAGGTGGGTGTGTTGGCTTGCCTGTAATCTCATCCCATAGGAGGTAGAGACAAATGCTGCAGCAAATTAGGTACCAAACTAACTGAAACAGGAGCTCTTGGCCTAGTATAGTAAGTGAACAGCATGTAAGGAAGAAACCCATCATCACTCTTGGACCGCCACATGCATTCACTGTACATGTACCGGCTATGTGCTCACAGGCATGTGAGCATGCATGCACACACGTGCACATACCACACACACATACGCAAATAAAATTCTGGCTAGCTGAGTTGGTGCACACCTTTATCCCAGCATTTGAGAGGCTGAGGCAGAGGATGGTAAAATGGAGAGCATTCGCAAAACAGCAAGATCCTTGTCTATAAAAGGAGAGAAGTAAACTCAGCAAAATTAAACAGAATTGCATTGGCTAAAACTCTGCTTTTAACCTTTGTTTCGGCCTGGATTTTGTTCCTTCAAGATAATGTTCATGTCTTGCTTAGTTTTTATGGGCAACGTGACACATTCTATATTCACCTGGGAAGAGAGACCTTCCGCAGAATGATTTCTCGGGAAGATTGGAAGTGGCCATATCTGTAAGAGATTATCTTGACTGATGATTGATGGGGAAGGGTGGAGCCCATTGTGGGTGGCACCATCCCTTTGCAGGTGGGTTTGGGCTGTATAAGAAAGCTAGCTATGGAACTGGAGAGAATGTTCAGCTATTAAGAGCACTGGTGCGGGAGAATTGTCTGTATTCTGTCAATCATATTTTAATAAAACGCTGATTGGCCAGGCAGGCAGTATAGGCGGGAAAACCAGACAGGAAGTAGAGGTGATGCAATGAGAACAGGAGAATTCTGGGAAGCAGAGAGGTTCCTCTGCCATTCCTGCGCAGACCACCGAAGAGGCAATATGTAAGCTGTCACACTGAGAAAGGTACTGAGCCCGTGTGGCTAACATAGATCAGAATAATGGGTTAAGATAAGTCATAAGAACTAATAAGTAGCCTGACCTAATGGGCCAATCAACTTTATAACTTATAGAGATCTCTGTGTGGTTAATTTTCTCTGGGACTTGCCGGCTGTGGAGTACCAGGCAGGAACAGATACCCCAACAAGCCAGCTTGCCCTCATGTTACAGAGCACCTGATGCTCAACTATGAAGATAATAGTTCAGATCAAAGTATCCACATCAAATGACTTACAATGAGTACCTGTAACTCCATCTCTATGGAATCTGATGGTGTCTTCTGGCCTTCATGGGAACCCCTACCCGATACATGCACACACATTAATTAAATACATAAATAAAAATTAAAATAACTTTTTAAAAAAGAAAGCTAGCTAAGCATGAGCTAGCAAGCAAACCAGTAAGCAGTGTTCCTCCCCCGGCTCCCGCTCCAGGTTCCTGCTTTTACTTCCCTCTGCTGGAAAAGGAAGCGAAACTTGCTCTTCCTCAGGTTAGTGTTGGCCATAGTGTGCATCCCAGCAACAAAGTAACTAGAGCACTTTGTTGGGATGTCTCTGTGGGTAAACAGATCCAAGAACAAACGTGGTAGGAGAGAGCTGGCTCCTGCAGGTTGTGACTTTCACAAGTGTATTGTTTCATGTGTGCCTCAGAAATAACTAGATATAAGAAAAATAAAATATTGTTCCTTATGTTTACCTAAGAAACACTGAAAACTTTAAAAAGTATTATTATTTTATCTTGTTTTATGTGTATGGGTGTTGTGCCAGGGTGTATGTCTGTAGACTCCCACCTAGCTGGTATGTGCAGAGGCCAGAAGAGAGAGTTGGCTCTCCTGGAACTGGAGTTACAGACAGTTATGAGCTGTCTTGTGGGTGCTGGGAATCAAGCCCAGTCCTCTGGAAATATAGCCAATGTTCATAATCTTAGAGACTATTTCCAACCCTGCAACAAATATTTTTTAAAATCAAAACAACCATCATTGACCTGGCATGGTGGCACACGACCTGGGCTTGGTGGACTGAGGCAGGTAGGTCTTTGTGAATTCAAGACCAGCCTGGTCTACATGTCCTGTTCCAGACCACCCAAAAATACATAGTGCTAGCCTCTCCCCCAAACAAACAAACAAACAAATAAACAAAAATGATTTTCCCCAATTCCAAACACAGAGGTTTCCTTACTTGCATCTTCTGGGTGGTGGGGGTAGAGTCTCACTATACAGTGTAGGGTGTCTTAAAACTGCATTTTCCTATCTCAGCATCCCAAAGGACTGGGCCTGCATAGTTAGATCTGGTTTGAATTCACTTCCCGAATTAAATAAAAAATAATAGTAAATACATAATAAATAAAACTTTCATTCAGGCATTTTGGAATACCAGTATACAGACTTCCTTTGAGCAGGAGAAATGAAAGTATTTCTTAGAAAAACACTATAAACATTGATAACTCCAAGAACCCTAAGTTTTCTCATTCTCTTCAATGGATGCGTTTTTTCCCCATGTCTCCACGCTAGCAAGTTATCACGAACAGTATGACCGGTTGTACGGCCAACATTTGTTTCAGAACTCGTGTTTCATTGCCTTAATACTGAGGTGTAGCGAAAACATCTTTCTCAAATGGAATTGAGCTCTTTAGCTTGTCTCTTGGGAGACTGAGAGGGAACCCAACACCCTTCTATTTAAGGCTCCATCCCAGGGACCCCGCCTCAAGGCTCCACCCCAGCGGCCCCGCCACCGCCCCAGCGGCCCGGTCCGTCCTCTGGCCCCACGTCCACGATCTGGCCCCGCCCCTTCATAGAGGCCACGCCCCGCTCCAGAGACACACCCCACTTCCTATCGCCCCGCCCTCTGACCCAACCCCCACGATCTGGCCCCACCCCCGCCCGACGGCCCCGCCCCAGTAGCCCGTCCCGGCTTCCGCCCGCCCCGCCCTCTGGCCCCACCCCCACGTCCCGGCTTTTCGCCCCCGGCTTCAGGCGTCGCGTTCGGTTTCCGTGGTTACGCCTC